ATTTTATGGAGTTCAAGGTCTAGGTATATGGTGATAGCTAGGATGATCCTAATGGAGACCATTTTGGCGATTACGGAGAAAGTGTCATGGTAGTCTATCCCTTCCTTTTGTGTGAACCCTCTAGCGACCAACCTTGCCTTACACTTGTGTAATTGCCTCTCAGAGTTTAGTTTCTTTTTAAAGACCCACTTGCACCCTATAGCCTTTCGATTAGGTGGTAGGTGAATTAACTCCAATACTTGATTTTTCTCAATAGAATTCATGTAATCGTCCAATGGCCTCTCTCCATAGATTTCTCTTGGGGCAATTAATGACTTCTTGGTATTTAGTTCGTTCATGGTTGGGTTCTTCACTTATTCTCTTATATACCTCACCTAGCTAGGTGAAGAACTGGGGTGGTCTTCTTACTCTTTATCTTCTCCTTGGGGGAACCATGGGCATCCATCTCATAGAAATCTACTTGTTAGGGAAATGTGCACCGTAACTTTCGATTACATTGCTATTGGACAAGTCATAAAACAGGTCAGCCTTACCATGCGTTGGATAGTCAATAAAAACACATTTGATGCTCTTGGGTTCTAGTTTACTCCTATTTTGTGAAGGGATCGAAAAATGGGCTGAACATCCCTAAACTTGAGGTGCTTGATGGAGGGAGGACGCTCTAGATAGAGTTGAGGTAACCGCCTGAATGGGAGTCCGGTTGAGGATACAAGTGGCTGTTAGAATCGCCTCTCCCCAAAATTCTAATCCAAGTTTGGTGGTACCTATCATACTTGGCAGTTTGCACCATCTCTATTAGTGTCCAATTTCTTATTTCGGCAGCCCCATTTTGTTCGGGTGAATAATGTGGTTTGATATATATTCCGTTCTTTTCACAGTAATTTGAACTTTATATATTGTTATTGGAGCCTCAACATCTGGCATAAGGGGGATGAATGACATCATGAAAGAGAGAAAAAGTATGTGGATTTTGATAGAAGATAAAAGAGATTGTGAGTTTTCATGGACAGAGGAATAAAAGAAGCAGTGTACGGATTGGGTTGGAGCATGAATGTTGGCTTGATGTCTGCATATCGTGGCAAATCTCTTCTTTAAGCCATTAATGAAAATTGAAGTGTCCATTTTCCTTTAGTCACAATGACTACCTTGGAGAGGAGAGGGAGGGGGGCAACCTCCTCAGAGTATTGCAGATGATCATCAAGGGCTGGACCTGTCATCTTCCTCCCCTATCTATAACATTAGGCCTTCCCCTAAACAAGCCATATCCCTATTGCAATCAATCCTATCGGAAGTTTCTCTAATTGCCTGCTTAACAAAATAAGCCATGAAAGATATAAAAACTCATTAGTGTTAACTGCAAAAAGTGCAGTAAAGAGAAACCTGCAACCTATCCAAAAAAGGAGTCGAACACAAAAAGAAACATATGGCTTGTTGAATAGCATCAAAAGATGCTACTCTACTTTAATGAACAACCTTGTCATCAGGGTCGAAAATTCGGAAACCTATCTTGTAATTTTTCAAATGGTTCCCATCCCGCATCTCTTGGTTCTATTTTTGTTTTTGTTTTTTTGGTTGCTCTAGAACCTCTGTAGTTGCATGATTTTGATATTTTTGCACCTGCTGTCCCTATATATGTCTTTTGTCCAACTACCATGGGCCTTCCATGAATTATGAGATATGAATTTGTACCGGTACTTTTGATCCCACCTTCTTCTTGAGCAATGAGGCATGAAACACGTGACGTATCAATCCTTGGCCAATTCTCCGATACACAGAATTTTGGGGAAGTTTGTTGGATCTTTGCGTGTTAACTGAATTCAATACGGTTGAAGGCATAAGAAGACCATATCCCCAACTTCGTGCTCCATTTCTTTGCATTTTCATCTGCTTGTTGCTTTCTTTGATGTTGGTCCATGGGCAAATTAGCCTTCTAAATCTGACTGATGCGATCATGACTTTGTGATTTCAGTTCAACTGTTTGACCACTTGTAGCCCTTGGATGTAAGAAATTAAGTGGTTGGCCACACACGCCTTCGAATGGTGTTGTTTGTGTAGAGGAGTGACGGATGGTGTTGTGTCACCAAGATGCTACTAATGGGAGCTCACTCACTGTTTTGGATGGGTACCTGCAAACATAGAAAATAAGTTTCTGGACATTTGTTTACTACCTTAGTTTGCCCATCTATCTGGGGATGATATGCCACGGTTATCTTTAGTTGTATTCCATGCAACTTAAACAACTTCCGGAAGTGATTTGTGACTACGTCACCATCACTATCAAAGTCTACAGATATGGACATACCATGGAGTTTAAAGATAAGCTTCAGAAAATGTTGTGTTACTGCTGCTACAATGTCGGTTTGGTGATCAATTACCATCTTAATGATGTTTACCTATAAAGTTTGGGAGCCCTTCAATGAAATTCATTGAGATGTTTGTCCATACCAGGTCTGGAATGGGAAGGGGTTAAAGCCAGCTGGGAATTCTCACCATTTCACCTTTTTTGTCTTGGACAACTATCCGATTCTGTAATAAATCACCTGATGTCATGTTCATTCTCTTCCAGCACAAGGCTCTTGAGATTATTTTAAGTTTTGACTTGCTGTAAACTACATCTTCGAAGCTTGTATGTATACTTAGTTTATGAAAATAATAATAGTGACAAAAGCACCAACACCAATATAGTGGTTTTCCAGCTATATATTTCCAAAAGCAATTGACAGGCAAATATCTTTAAGTTTTGTTAGTTGTGGCTATATTTGGCTTTAATACATTGTTAGTGAGAATTGCAAAATCATGAAAAATAGAAGAAGTGAGTTAAGTTTCAACAATTATGTGATCTTGAACCTTGACCTATGTACTAGTTTTCATCGTTTTCAGCTCATTTTATTGTAGTTTTTCTTTGTTAGTGATTTACGCCACATTTGGCCTAATATTTGGACTTTGGCATGTGTCTCGTTTGGTTCCTTCCTCTCTGTATTATATTAATCTTGGGTAGTTAAGGTAAGTTGGGGACCTAAACCCCCTAATCTATATTGTTACATAACAATACATAGGCAAATGGGAATTTTAAGGTGTTTTGTTGATGGAACCATTAAGAATTCTAAGTGAAGAAGTTGGCTCCTGACCTAAGGGTAGTCATGAAAGGGCACAGATCAGCACAAGATTTATCTAATCCACCCATTGTTTTGATTATGCCACCCAAAACATGGGTGGCAATATGGACTCCAGACCTCCTGGTTTTTCTACCCATTCCTTGCGTCTTTTTTTCTTGTTTTCCTTTTGAAAGAACATACTGTGTGGAGTAGATTATTAAAATTTGAGTGGCTGGATCAGTGCCCTTTATGGAACTCCCAAATTGAGATTGAATTCCCCTAAAGTGGACACACTTGGCCACTGGGGAAACTCGTGGGCACTAGTCTCTTAGGTGAAGGCTTTCTCCCCAGCCTTACTTATAAAGCGGATGTAAATGCTAATAAGTCACCTTGGTTGGTGTGATCTTAAGTACTTTGGGTTGTTTTTTTGTGTGTTGGGGGTTAATGTAATCTTAAGTATCCCAAAGAACTATATTTTGGTGACATTGCTCTTTTTATAATCGTGGGTAAGTTTTGTTTACCTTTGCATCACCTTCATCTTATTTTGGGTACGATAGCAGTCAAATTTTCTTTCAATAAATAACCAGAGTTATCTGGTAATACCAGCTAATTTTTCAGAGAAACATAAGGGTTCTTAAGGGAATCCTGCTTTTTTTACTCCATAACATTCTTTTAGGCAGTTCTAGGTTCATGCATCCTTGGTATGTATAAGAGACTATCTGGGAAATATAGCTGAGTTTCTTATTTATTGGAATTAGAAGGGATAATTCTTGAGTTATCGTGGCTGCTAATCTGGTCGGATTGGCTCGTTTACTAGTTTGTATACCACACTTTTGATGATAGCTAGTTTAAAATTTGCTGCTCTTTTTGGTTTTTTTTTTTTCTAATCAAAATCTGGGTCCTCAGAGCATCCTGGTGGAGCTTTAGTCTCTCTCTCTCTCTCTCGGGTACTTCATGTTCCCTCTTTTCCCTACTTCCTGCTTAGCTTCTCACCTTGCCATTCGATACTCCATGTTCCCTCTTTTCCCTACTTCCTGCTTAGCTTCTCACCTCGCCATTTGAAAACCATAAGTTGCTCCTCATTTGTTAAGCACATGGTAATCCTACCATACTGCATTGTGGGCTCATTGTCACTTAAGTGACTTCATGTTCCAAAATTGTCTAGGTGGCAAACTGACATGACCCCAGGATCTCTTGTCAACATCAAATTTGTCAGATTCGCTTATGTGTCTTCTTTGGTTTGGTGAGAAAAATGAAGCAATTCGGTGCTTCGGCCAATTTAGGGGAAGACTTCGGATTTTTTTAAATTTAATATAAATTATTTGGATATTTATATATAAAATATATACAAATAATGGAAAT